TGCCCTAAACAAACAAACAAAAAATAGTAACAAACAAGGAATGAATGATAACTGAATAAATCATAGTTTCTCTTATTTTTTTACTCCATTTACTGTTTCTTGTTATTTTAAATTTTATATTCTACTAGTGCAAGATTAAAATATAACAAGCATAATTGTCATGAGAATTCCTGTGGATTCTTTTCTGCTGCTTCCAGAAGAAATGAGGCACAACAGAGTGAAGAGAAGAAATATCCTTGTAGGAAGCTCACCCTTCTCTGACACAGTACCCACACTAATGCTTCTTCCGGTAGAGTTTTGTATGCTTGCCTCAAGACAAAGTTACTCTTGCTGATGTCATCACTTAAATGGTCACGGCCAGTTGGAAACTAGGCTTTTGATTGGGCTCCTTTCCAATTGCACGTTGTGTCTGTTTAAGAATTCTACCTGTAGGGCCTTTTTTTTTTAACCCTGAAGCACTTTGTTTCTGAGGGGTTCTTCCCGAACCCTTCTTAGTAAATGAGAGAGCTTAGGACTGTGAAAGATATAGGTTACTGAGTTCTCTCTCCTACTGGAGACACTTAGAAAACTTCCACAGAATCAAAGTGATGGATCATACTCTCTAAGGTCTTTCCTGTTGAAGATCACAATAACTTCAAGAAGAACTAGGAGTAAGATATACCAGGGATCATGAAATTTATCTTTGAACTGCAGTCTCCCTAACTGCACCTTACATAACAATATACAAGATTTTTTAAACTGAAACTTACTATACACACATACACAATTCAGTTTTTATCCAACATTGAGAAAAGTAGCATTTACTTAAATCCAGAGGAAATATGATTTTCAGGTAAAAATGAATTAACCACTTAATCATTCCAAATGTCGCCATAGAAAGATACTATAAGACTAGCATGGTTCTCCACAAATAGAGATGAGACTTGTGTATATGTGAATATGGATCTGAAAGAGATAAAATCAAATCAGAGTACAATGAAAATGCTTTACAAATCTCTAGCTCTGTGAAAGATGATTATCGTGACTTGAAAGCCTTATAAGTAAAAAACCCCAAAATCTGAATATATCATAAAATTTTAAGAAATCAACAATTTGCCCTGAAAAAATTAGAAAACAAATTATAAAATTATAGATTAATATGAGATTTATTAAGACATTGTTCTTTAATCATTTGTGAAACTTTATAAGAATAACTATAAAAACAATATTGCTCTCTTCTAAGAAAGATCACCGAATCATAAAGATTCAGTAACATTTATATAAGCAGTATTTCATCATTAACTTCAAATAACAAGAAAATTGTCAGTCACACATTTCTGAGTGTATTATAAATTAAAACAGCACATGCTTTCTAAGAAATACAACATTCAAAGCCATATGAATATAAAAGACAAAAAAGATGGAGGAATTTAAGGTCTGGGATCAGCTTTTGTGTAAAGAAATTGAAGTATCTGCCTAGTACCTTATTACAAGAAAATGCCTAAGGAGATTGTTAGCATATTTTAAATATGTCCAGGAGAGCCTGAAGTGAGTTGCAGCCAGAAGTCACTTTGGGTTTCCAGGTGAAAGCTAACTCCAGAAGGTCCAGCTGCCAGGGCAGGGTAAGGCAGGCCAGTTGAGTAGGGTGGGGCGGGTGGGATCGGACAGCACATCATAGCATGGCATGCCATGGCATGGCATAGCATAGCACAAAAACCACATTAAGTTAGTTCCTTAGGTAACCAGCACAAGCTAATTGTATGCCAGTTATGAATCACTGTCAATAAAAAAGGAGAAGACATTTAAGGAGTACTACAAACAGTATAGGACATATTCCTATGTCAAAAAAGAACAGTATTTTGTAAATTATTTTTAAGCTAATTATCCCATGTCTTGCAGTGTTTTTGACACACAGTTTTCTGACATATAAAGATAATATCCCAAGGCTAAAGACGTAGCTTAGCAGTAGAGCACTTGTCTAGCATGTGTAAGGCTCTGAATTTAATCCTTAACACTGGATGGGAAATAAAAGATAATATCCCAAACAACTGCGAACAGAGGAAGCCCCTCTCTTTGGCTTATTAGCTGTGGGACCTTAGGAAATATTTACTTGTTTGAGTCTCAGTTTTCCCATACAAAAAGTATAAGCAAAGTATTCAGAAGGTTAAATGAACTCATATATAAAGTCTTACAAAATCTTATACATAACAAGCAATAATCATTTATATACTCAAGGAACATCGATAAATTATTTATGGATCATTCAAGAAAGAGCAGCCTTCAGTCTAAATACAAAATCAGAGGAAATTTAAGATTCAGCAGATTCCAATTGTGCTACTTCATCAAGGACACAGTAGGACAGTAGCTTGCTGGGAAGATAGCAAGCAGACAAATTCTGTTTAATGCATTAATAAATCACTACAAACGAATTACTCTATAAACAAAAATACTTTAAAGTTGGGATTGTATAGTCTTCAAACATGAAGAGTGAGGGTAGGTTGGAGAAGAGTGAGACTAACATTAGAAGTATACAGAGGACTCAGAAGAGGGTGACTAAGTGGGCTACACTATTCCCCTCCTGAGTTTGAGTCAGCAGGGTATAGTTAGAGAGCAAGGGCTCTAGAGTCAGGCAGACATGAATTTGAATCCTGACTTCACTCTCTGGACTTGAACAACTTAGTTAAAACCTCTATGCCTTAGCTTCCTCACTGTATCATGAAGATAATAATGGTATCTACCTTGTTGGGTGGTTAGAGGAACTAAGCATGATACTGCACCTCACTTTCTGAATGAATAAATGTCAGCAGTCAGTTGTTATGTAAGACACATCCTTTCTGTACATTTTACCCAAAATATCAAAGCCTGGGTGAGCATAAAGTTATTGGTATATATTAAAGATAATATAATATATTCCATTGAAAGCACTCTAGTTTCATTCAAGGAGGAATATCAATTATTATTGCTCATTTCAAAACTGCATTTCTCTAATAAACAAAACTTGGTAACTGGATAAAATATTAACTGGATAAAATATTAGTGAAAAACATGACCAATCTCTTCTGTTTGGCATTTCTCATGCAGCGGTGGTGTCTCATGTAGTTTTCTTCCTAATTCTGTGTCTAGCTTAGAACCTTAAATGTAATAGTTACTAAATGACAGTCACTGGAAAATAAAGCTGAATGAATTGATTTTTGGACAGCTCACCTGAATACTGCTGTTTGAAATTTCTTCCATGGGTGACAAAATATTTAATCTACACTTTGAAATGATGTACAACAGCACAGGGGTTGAGAATACAGGTGCCGGAGACACAAAGAACTATATTTGAATCTTGATTCTGCTTATGAAATCTCACTTCATACAACATGATCCAGGACAAGTTAATCGTTCTAAGCTTTTTTTCTCTCATTCAGAAAACTGGTCTGATAAGGGATGTGCTGTCCCCAGCACAATCTTTGCCTATGGAAAGTGCTCATTTAACAAGTGATTTATACTAAAGTTCAAATAATAGAGCTTAAAAAAGATAATGCCATCAAACTGTGGAAAATATTTCCAGTTTAGCGTTAAAGTAGACAGGACACATGGACTTCTCTGTCACAAACAGGAAAATATCTCAGGATCTGTCCTAAGATCGCATACCAATTTACACATGTTTTCAGCCATATGGATCTTTTCTTTGGTTATATGCTATATTTAGCATACGTAAAATATTTACAATGGAAATAGTTTATAAGTAAGGTGGAAATTTTTGTTAGAGAATACCGAAATTGTGGAAAATAAGTGCACTTGTGAAATACAAAAAATTTATGCTAACAATGAAAATGAAAAATCTAATTTGAGCAAAATTGCAGTAAACTAACCAGTTTTGTATTTTTCTATGATCCACTTTGCTGTATCTCTGTTCTGCAAATGTCATTCAGCTTCCAGAGGAAAGTGGAAATTTCAAGAAAAAATATTACTGTACTTAAAAGTTCCTATGTCAATGTTAATTTGATCTTCTGGTGCTTAAATAGTGAAGATAAGTAAAAATATATTGAGATATGGAAATAATAAAAAAGCTTATACATAGAAAAATCCCTAACTTACCAAGTGATAATTTTCAAATACTTAAATAATGTAGATTATAAATCTAGTTGAAAATATATTTCTGGGGTTCATGATTAATAACTTTAAAATAATCATATTTTACCTCATTTGTTATCCACTGATGGAAAACTTAAACCATGACCAAAAAGTTTATTATATATAATAATTTCTTTCCTCTTTAAAATTTTTTAAATAAAATTAGGAATTTCCAAATCACCTTTTAATTGTCTACATTCACATAGAAAAATTAAAGAAATCTTTAAAATTATCTATATATTCCTAAGAAATTAAAATATAAAATTTTGGAATTAATATTTCATAATTTCTCTCATATTGCCTGACTAAAATATTAATAAGTTTTATATCTCTAATTTTAGTTCATATAAATTTCAACAAATTTTAAGGGACTCTTCTTTATTTAATAATGCTTTTGCTTTAGATGATATAATAAATTAAAAATTAAGCTTTTATGTTATACATATAACTGTATATCCACATATACAGTTTCACCTAATACTTGATAATTTGTCATATGCAATCAAGAGAAAATAAACACTTATTTGCTAAATTTTTTGCTTACATTTTCTATATCATTAACAATTTAACGAAAAGAAAACACTTAGGGGCTGGGAATTTAGCTCGGCAGCACAAGCACCTGCTGAGAAAGCGCAAGGTCATGAGTTCAGTCTGCATAAAAAGCAAAACAACAACAACAACTAAAAAAACACTTCTTTGATTATACTTACATAAAAAGCAATGCATAAAAGATAAATGTATGCTGCAAAATTTCATTATTTATTTTCTGATTTATTTCCAAGTTTGCAATGAGTGTTAACCAAAAGAAAAACCAAAAACCAAATAAATAAACAATCCCTCCCATTAAAGATATCAAAAAGTTTAAGTTAAACCAAACAGAAAATTTAAATGTCACTAACCCAAGGCATGCACAGTTCTTCTATGCTTGCTGGAGCTCTTGCTTGTTTTAACCACACGAACAGCATTTTCTTTGAACTGCAGCTCACAAAAGCTTTTAAGAAATTGTCCCATTTCTTCTGTGATTGTATCCAAGTATGTCTCTTTAATGAATTTCACTGTTGAGGATGGAGCTAAGATTTCACATAGTATGCTAAAATCCTCCTTTATCATTGAACATAACTTAAGCATTGTACTTGGGTATCCGTGAGCTATTACATCCAAATTCAAATCTCTGCTGTAGGAAGGAAATCTGTTCTGCAGAAGTTTAGTCAGCAGTTTATTCTGTATGCTTTGGTACTTGATCACAACTTCTGATTCTGAATAGAGAAACAAAAGTTGTTGCAGGCACTCATTTTTCAATACAATTTTTTGCTGTGAACTGTTTACTTCATTATGGCTTTGTAATCTGTTCACTATGAAGCGTCGAAGATGCAGTCTTATATCATCCCACCTGGACTTTGCATCCATAGAGGAATGATCTTCAACAGAATGCAGAGAAGTCCTAGACAGAAGATGAAAAGGCGCTTCACTTAAAATTGATGGTAGTGAAATACTATTCTGGCAGGACAGGTCCCAGAGCAAATCCAGTATTATTTCTTCTTGATTTTGTTCATTCTTCAACAAATCTTGCTGGTGAAAGTAAATGATCACAATAGAAAAGTATTAAATCTAAATATAACTAGAAAAATGACTCTGAAGACATATACAATTATATAATAATTTATATCACTTTAGAATCAATACTCTGATGTTCAAGATATTCTTTGCCTTTTGAATTTAATTAATTCACAGTTATGAATGTTAAATTTATCGTTAAATTTAAAGCCCAGCTTGCCGACTATCAATACAGTTCTAGATATAGTTTTTAGCTTTTATTGTTACACCCCTGATACAGCCTGAACTGTATGAAAACTGAGGCTAAAAAATTCTAAATAAAAATCTATAGTGAAGTATTGATTGCAATGTGCTCCTAAGACAAAATAAATTCAAGATCATGCCCCTAATTAATTCTTGGTAGATAATTTTCATGCCTCAATGAGTGTACTTATCATTATAAAACCCCAAATGAACATACAGTGCTTAAACTCAATCCAGAATAGAGTGGAAATCTTTAAAAATAGTATGTGCCTAGAGGTTACTAATAGTTACCATCCTGAGAAATAAAATTTAATACAGTGAATGATTTCAGCTTGCACTTAAATTCCTGAGAACCATGTTAACAAAGATCTTACTTTGAAAATTAATCTGAGAATATTTCAGTTCTCTCTTAAGAAATGATAATTCAAATGGGATACAGATATTCTCAGAATTGCTCCCAAAAAGATGATATGAAATTATTCTTTTATACTTTCTGTGCTGATAGAAAACAATGGTGTATATAATTATCAGTAATAAAGGGACAAAAATTTTTGCCTTCTTGGGTTTTCAATCACACACACACACACTCACGCCTGCATTCTCCTTACATGCTGACTTTGCCAATTATGCATATTTCAGCTAATAGTGAAATTAGTTTCTATTCTCTAGGAAGAAACAAGCTGATTACAATAGGAAGCAAGACTGAAGTGGCACATAAAACTTGGGTTCACTTTAAAATTTCTTATTAATGAAGATACCAGAACTATAATGTATAATTCAGAATTATGCACAACTTCTTGACAAATTCCTGGAATTTGCTTTCAGTCATGCTAAGTACTGCAATGCCAACTTTAAAGTTCTGCCTGTACTAACTACATTCAATATTTACATATGCTATTATATAAAAGGCATTGCCACACATATTCTCTGGTTTATTCATATGAAAACTGTGGCATAGACATTTTAAAAATGCATTTTACAGATAAAGATAATAATATAGATGCTTAAGTGACTTTCCAAACATCACATGTGATAAGCCCCAGAATCAAGAATAGATCCCTGGGTTCACTTTTCACCTGCATTCTGTCTACTATACTCAAGAGAACCACAGGACGTGGGAAACTTTCGGTAGCTGTTTCCTCTATCCTCTCTTGATACTTAGTTCTTTTTATACCTCTGGGAAACAAATGTCTTTAGACACAAGACCCTGTCACTTCAGCATTAAGGAACATGATCATATTAGTGCCTCAGCCATGGGTTTGAGTTGGTCAGTATTTGGTCAAAGACGACTTGATTATAGAAGTTTAAAGCATGTGCTCTGTGTGATTACTTGAATTTTGACAATAACTTCAGTGTAATTGCTACCATGAAAATCTCTGTTTCTTAGCTAGATAGTTAATAAAAATTTTCTGTGAAGAAACATATACTTGAAAAATGCCAATAAGACTGACACTTTTAGCACGTAGAAACTTGATATTAAGACCACTTTAAACCTGGCCTATTTTAATAATGTGATTCCTTTCTCAAAATAACATGATCCATTATGTAAAAAAAAAATGTAAGAAAGAAAGAAAAGAAAAACCTAGGTCTGGCACAAGCATATCAGTATAATGAGTTTGAACAAAACTAAGGCGGCCTTTGCCCTGCAGTGAATAGAGAATGACTTATGTGTGACAGATTAAAAGATAATTAAAAGCTTTTGCTTTTAATTAAATGAGAAAGCATTATTACATCAATATTAATGAAATTCAATACACATGGCTCTTAATAGAAATTAAAAGAATAACTATATCCATATTTATTCTTCAAGGCTCTACCTTCCAGAGATAATGGGTGAGAGGAAGAATTTTCTTGAAAGATTAAGGCTTCAGGACACAAGGCCTTCCTTTCTCTTCCTTTTATTACTTTGTAAACATTAAAGCAACATCTGTAATAATAACAACAGCCAAAAAACGGTTTTCATCTGATCCTGTCCTCCTAAGCCATCTACAACCTCAAGATATTTTCCACATCTGCCTTAGTCAGTGTTTGATGTTTAGACAAAAACAGTGCCTTTCTCCCCCTAAATTAAATTAAAACCATGACTACAGAAATAGTGCTGTCTAACAATTGTGCTCTTTCTCTGGGAATGTGTTTTTGTCAGCTAGCCACTATTGTAAGCGTAGGTGTAATAAAATAACTGTTCCTGTTGGAGAGTTCAGAAACTCTTCTAATCTAGGAGGTGGTCAGTATCAAAGGCAGACCAATATAATTCTCCATTAATTAAGTGAGCTTGTCTAAATTGCTGCCTTGATTTAAAAGAACTGGATACAACCGCAAGTTGGAAATGCAAAGAATCAGAAATAAAACAGATTTAATAGATAACATTGGTGAGAATCTTATTAAGTTTAATACTGAGTATAGAGCAGCTTGGTAGTGGTGAAGGAACATTTTACATATAAAAATATAAACTTCTCTGGAAGATAACGTCTGTATACATTAATGCATTTTGTGTACTGATATGCTTCACATTGCATCAAAATCCCCCAAGGAATTATAATATTTACCCTCTAATTATATAAAATTTCATTCTATTAATAAAAATCATAGTTAAAAAAATCACAGCAAAAACAATTTAAAAATAGCTCACTGGATTCTATTGGGGCTACAAAAACAAAACAAAACAAATCTGTCCACCTCTATGGCAGGCCAGGATCATCTCTTGAATAAACACATGTATAAACTGAGCGAACTATAGTTCCTGTTCACCTCCCCAATTCCATTATAAAACCAAAAAAATTATTTTTACCATTGTTTTGAGGAATTTTATCAAGTCTCCATGGGGAACGGAAGGGGTCTTGGAGGCACTGTATCCACAGCGCGTCAGCCACTCAAAGCAGTCCGCCGCAGTTTGCAGCCGCACATCTGGACACTGTTTGTTAACTTCCCTCTGTATTTCCTTAATGCAATGCTCGATGCTATGAAAAGATAAGATACAGTTATTCTGGTAGGAAGTAGACAATGGTTCTATCTTCTAACAACACAGGACCTGACCTGTCTATATTGGGTACCTGATTGTGTACCATTTATGAAATTTATAAAGTGTTCACATGATATGAAAACAGTAACAAGGGACTATGCATTTTCATTCCCAGTTGGCAACTGAGAGTTTACATTTTCTAGTACAAAAATGTGACACAGAAGTTATAAAATATATAGAATTATCAAATTATAGTTACTTAGAGATGACTTAGAATTATTTTGTGTTAAATACCAAACAACAGGCAGTGGATAAAAAAAGCAGAAAGAAAAAAGTCCCAATGACAATGTAAGTCAGCAACAACATCATCTGCTAACAGATGAATGGTAATATATATTATGGAAAATTTAAAGGACTATGAAGAAGTCAGCCAGGCACGGTGCTGTACTCCTAAAATCCCAGCACTTTGAGAGCTGAGTCAGGAGCATCCCAAGTCCACACTCTCCCTAGGAAACTTTACTGACTTTAAGAAGACTCTGTCCCAAAAGAAAAAAATTTGAAATGGGCTGGGAATGTACGCCAATGAAGGTTCTGTACTCAATCCCCGCTAACCAGCAAAAACCAAACAAAACAGAAGGTTCGAAGCAGTTACAAAGAGCTTGTAATTTTGATTTTAAAGGCTGTATAAAGAATGTAGAATGATATTACAGTTAAATGTCTCTTGTTGTCATCAAACTCCATTCCAAAAAAGAAACATACACTAAAAATTCATGTTAAAGAAAAAAAAAAAAAAAAGACAAAGAAAAGAAACCTGGAAAGAAGTGAAGCAAAAGGTTAACAACAATTATATTTGGGTGATGCAATTAAATGGTTTTTTATTTCAGGTTTCTGTATTTCCTAAATGTTTATAAAGAATAAGATGAAATGATTATAAAAGCAGAAGCAAAAAAATATTCAGGTGAATCTTAGGTTTCTGTTTTTAAAAATCCATTCAAAGAATTCTTAGTTCTGGTAACACAAGATACAATCTGCCATTTCAATTTGCATGTGTAATCCTGTGCATTTATGATTTCCAGTCTCTGAGGGGGTAAAGTCCTGACCTTGGCAGAGTGCCAGCTGCGGGCCCCGCAGATGTGACTTAACACCACCACCTGATGGCAGCACACCATACTACAGAGACTGCAACACCACACCTGCCTCTGGAGCGATTCCCCTCCTCACCCAGAACTGACAGTTCTGCTATTGTCTCCTAAGGTTCCAAGGGAGATCTGTTACAAGAAGGGAAAGTGACTGTTTTGAAACTATAACTGCTATTAATTATAGGTTCCGTATGATACAACCATGTGGAAACCGCGCTCTCTTTACTAAAATCGATGTTATACAAAAACACTGCATAGGTCCTCAAGTGTGGGTTGCCTATAAAACACACCCGTATACAGTTAGAGGAAAGCTTTTTGGGAGACTTCTAAGCATGAAAGAGTTCAAATTAAATGACCTTCAAAAAATACATTCAGAGAATCGAAGAGTCTTTTCATGAACACAAAGAATTTAAAAGAAAAAATAATACCTCCTCTGGCCACAGGCCTCTGAATTTTCCGCCGGGACAGGCGTATTCAGGAACACCAGCTCTGAGTCTGCCCAGCTTCCCTAACTTCCCTAAGCCCCCTGTGGACTGAGACACAGGACACTGCCCTGGCCTCTGGGGACTCCTTGGCAAAGGTGTTCACTACACCATCCTCAAGTTTCTCATTCAGTGAAACCTAGCAGAGCACAGCAACGCGAACTGGAAAGGCTGGGTAGCCAGCCTACCTAAATCTCTTTCAGTCAGGACTCAGCTTTTTGGCTAATCACCAACATCTGAATCAGGGCAGAGACTAGAAGCTGCAGTTTATAAATAGGATAAAGCCTTCAGAGAGCTCCATATTTCAGTAAGTTGTCCAACTGCTGATAAAAGGATTAAGCAGTTGTATTTCAAGGGACTTTCCTTATTGCTATAACCTAAGACACCTCAGCTTGTTTTTAAAAACATTTCGTCAGAAATTTGAAATACAAGAACCCATTGCTGGCACTTGATTTTGTTTTTACGTGAGTATCTTGTCAACCTGTCATCCACCAGTATCTATATATTTTATTCTACAAACTTAATCCTCTGAATGCTATTAATTTCCTGTCCAATTGTTACACCACAGGAGTATTTTTAAAAGTTAAGGTGGACAACTTATCTTCTCTAATTGAGGTTAAAAGTAAAGGTTACCTTTCAATATTTAAAGGGTACTATTATTTTCAAGTACATTTCAAATATTTTAAAATATTTACTGTTATTAGGGATGGTAATCTGGGATTGGAGGAAGTCTCTATATTTCTAGGCTTATATGACACAAGCTCTTAATCCAGGCTTTCTGAAATTCCACAGTGCCTGTCTTTATTTTGTTTTAAGCATTTTCTTCTGTCAGGTTTTCTTTAGAAACAAGGTCAGTCATGAAAAAATAATCTAGCTAATTAAACAAAATAATTACCATATTTACTGTGAGATCTCACACTTTAGAGCAAAATTTAAAGAGTCTAAAAATGGTAGCAAACTTTCTTTCCTAAATAGTTTAAACTCTCAAATTTACTAACTCTGGTTTTAGTAAGGCTTTTTTTTTTTTAATCAGAAATTGAATGTGGGGCCTTGTGCTTGCCAGGCAGGTGCTCTGCTATATCCCCAGCCCTAGCAGGACTTTTAAAAGCATCTCCTTAGCTTTATTTGTAACATTAAAACCCCTGGAAATTGTTTTAATGTCCAGCAATGCAAGGATGACTAAATGGTTAATAGTTCATTCAGTGCAATAGAAGCATAATGTAGAAACACTTATCAGCATGGAGAATCTAATTAGCACAGTGCTGAGGAAAAATGAAACCCACATGAATATATACAAACGATACTATTCATATAATAATCTGTGAATAGTCTACATAATGCCACAGATGGCTCAAGATCATCAAGACAGGTAGCAAAAGTGTGGGGAAACGCGTGATCCAATATCCCTCTCCTGTAGGGAGGTGTGCATCGAAGGAGGTGAGGTTGAGGAGAGCGATGTAGGGAGCTTTATCAGGACTGGTAATGTTTTATTCCTTAAACTGAATGTTGAGAGCATATTTATCATAGTACTCTATGCTTCTTCATAACCCTCCACATTCCTTAATAAATTTCTACCCACAAATGCTTTAATTATAATGACTCTGAATTATCCAAGTCAGTGATGTGTGTGAGTGGGACATTACTGACAGGCTCTGTGTAAGTCAATTTATAAACCATTTTAAAAATGCAAGATGAAGTGTGATTTTTAAAAAGTCTCAATGGCAATTTTCTCATTCAACATCATTCTTGGACTCCAAAAACTGCTTCCAGAATGAGGCATTATATTTGATAAGCATTAGCTGAATGCTAAGTATGTGGCAGGCACTGTGATACCTACTAGTAGGGATCTAAGCATGAATAAGACATCACCCCATCCCTGAAGGAATTCTGTCTAGTGAGAGAGAAATGTAAATAAACATTTCCATACAGGACCACTTGATAAGAGGGGTACACAGCACGCGAAGGAAGTATTCGGGAGGGAGCCTCTAAATGCACCTGTGGGAAGCGTAGAAATGGCCTCTCCTGGGAGAAGAGACTATATGCAGGGACAGTGACACTTTCAGAGAATCAATAGACTCACTGTGCTTCAAATTCACCCTACAACTGACCTCTCAGAATGTGGTACTGATCATCTCACCTCAGAGCTGTCTCACTTAAAATTATATTTACCTGAATAATAAAAACATCCATTTATTGTATGGCCACACTTTTTCTTGCCTTCAAAGCTGGGCCAGGCCTTTGATGGACCCACAAGTTTTTACCTCAAAAGTGAAAGCTTACTTCTCACTGGTCCACCACCTACAGTCATCTCTGAGGAACAGTGATTCAACTATCATTGGCTCAAGCTCCGCATACGGCCTGAAGTTTCAGTATAGCAATCTTATTCATACTTCAGGTATTACAACAATTTCAAAACACACACATGCACTTCCTTTTCCTTATTTCTCATGGAAAGAGGTTTGTGATACTACTGTTAAGGGTATCTTCAAACAACAATTCTTTATTACCTTATACCTGCTTGGTACAGAATAAGTAATGCTAACATACATAAAAATAAATGTATACATTAATAAATTGTCCAACACCTAAAATGTACATATTGCTTGAAAGAACCCTGGTATAAAGAGGACACATTTGAGTCATTTGTAGGAAAATGGATGCACTTTGAGAAAGAAATCAGATGTAAAGCTTAAAAACTGCATGATTTTTTTTTATATGAGAAACCCAAAGTATAAATAAATTAAAGAGCAAAATAAAAGATAAATAACAGGAAACAGGGAGGGGACAAGAGACAAAGGGAAAGGAGAAGAGAACAGGAAACACAAAGAAATAAGATGTGTCATATACATGTACTAACTCTCCACGATGAATGTAATCATCATGTCAGGCAAACATGACCTATTAAAAATAAAAATTAAAAACAGGATAACCTTACTGATCTCAAATCCTAAGGCAGAGGCTTAAGAGAAGAACTGAAAACTCAGCAGGATAAAGAAGAAAGGCCCAAGGATCACCACAGACCTTCACAATCATGTAGTTGATGATGGAAAGTGCTGAGGAGAAAGGGGGCTTCAGACTGCCGTGAGAGAGACAGACGCTGGCTTTCTCTCTGCTCACTGATCTCCACCGAAAGCAGCCCCAGACTTCACGATGATGAAGGAACGGGAAAGTTTAGGTGGGCACCACCGCATGCTGAGCCCAGGAGGCTGTGAGCCTGAGAACGAGCATGTGCGACAAGGCCCCGGCAGAGGAGCCCAGAAAGCGCACTCAGGTCTTACTGTGGCTTCCAGGAGATGTGAGGGAAGTGGCCCCTTTCTGTTTTCTGTCCATGTAGCCTAGCCTTGTTCAGTAGGACAGAAGAAGAGTTCGGGGTTCTCTCAGATGGAGAAGAAAATACAGAAACCTCCAAAATACAAATGCAAGGAGTTGGGGAAAGCAGTATTCTCTAAGTGTGAAAATACTGCCAAAAATAAATGTATTGTATACGACAGATTTCAAAATGAATTTAATTTAATATTATATACCATGCTACAAAATGTCTTAATATATGTGCCCATTAGTAGATGTGTGGCTCTGCCATGAGGAGCTCACAGTTTCCAGGTTATTCACAGATCTCCTTTGTTATTTCTTCCAGACTTTTAAGGCATCATATGGAAAACTAAATTTTTTCCATATAGAATCTCAAAATATATAAGCACTATGTGGAAAGTAAGTACCATCCATAGGATACGTATCCTCCCATTAATAAGTATAATTAAATTTGTAGAAAACAATTATCCAGTATTCTCTCACAAAATCCCTCCTCCTCCATCATCTGCATGAAGACAAACGGTACCTTCCCTGGTAGTACTTCTTGATTTTACTTTAGATTAAAGAAGAAAGAAAAGTATATATCTTACATCATATCAGCAAAATAGGCTCCCTGAGATATAGAGAGATTGCTTATAATTAGAAAAGAGTAAAATAAACTTAAAAAAAAAAAAAAAAAAAAAAACAGTGGGCATGGAAATGCACACCTGTAATTCTATCACTTTGAGATGCTGGATAGCAAATCTAAGCCCAGCCTGGGCAACTTGGCAATTTAACAAGACCCTGTTTCAAAATAAAAAATAAAGAGCTGATGATATAGATTAATGCAAGGCTCTGGGTACCACAGTCCCCAGTACCAGAAAAAATAAAAGCAACATATCCATTGCACTCAACATAGAGAACAAAAATCACATTATACTGTGAACCCAAGAGAACTTAAGATCTTATTAAACTAATAACTGGTCAAGTCAAAATGTATTTCAGGACTTGTGCAGTTTTCAGTTAGATAACTAACTATATCCGTGGGTACAATATTGGTAGTGTTCCTCTACGGCAGGTTATTTACCCTCTTGTTATCAATTTTGATATGTGTTCAGAGTAAGTGATTCATTGGCACTCATTTCCTTCATCAGAAAGTCGAGTGGCCCAGCTCGGACTTGAATGGAAACCAGGATGTAAAAGTGAAAATGGTCTGAAAGAAAGACTGCCTCTCCTGAAGGGCAGGTGAAGGTTCTGTGACCCCTGGCACACCAGTCCATTCTGGGGAATCACTGCTTTGGGGAGGTGAGGGATCCCGTGGCTCATAAAATTTGATGCTATTAAGAAAAGGGAAGGAATTCACACTTGAGATGTCAGGGTCACTGTAAGAAATACAGCTTTAAAAATTCAAGAGTAAGAAAAGAGTACTATATTTAAAAATGAATTGCTAATGTTTTTTCTCTTAAAGTACTGAGGAAAATCCATATCATACCAGCGTTCATTACTTATTCAATGTACACCATTGGGAGATAAATAGAACTGTTAGAATACAAAAATGCCATGGGTAATTCAACGACTGCAGTGTAAGTGTGGCATAACTGATTTGTCATGACATACAATTTTCTAAAAGCTATTCTGTTAGAAGGCAATAAATGAGTGCATAAATGATTTATAGTCTTTTGAATCATAGTTATTATTCAGTATTTTATTTTTAAAAATATATACACCCTATACTACTATGTTTATTCTCTAGAGTCTAATAAAAACATAATTGAATTTGATGAAAAATAGACTTGGTTCTAAATGTAGCACATAGCCCATACTGCTACTCCCTTATTTTATCCCTCGAGAAGATCAATAGTCACTTGAGGTGGTTCTGCTCTAGGTTCATTTTAATATATGGGCAATAAAATAGTTTTTAATTTTAAATTATATACTTATATTCTGTACTATATTTTCTTTTTAATATTAACACCTAAGTTTCAATCCAAATAACAATTGATGAATGTAAAATACAATATTTTAATCACTGTTTTATTTTTAAATGTGATTTTTTTATTGACCAAGTAGGGCAGGAAATTATGTACAGATGGTGCAGCAAATAAAAACAAAGCAATATATAGAACTGTATCAGTAGAGTAACTTGCTTTGTTTTGATGGAGCCTAAATACCATTGTAAAGGGAGAAGTTTATCTCCTAAAAACCATTACCAATTTAAAAAAAAAAACAAAACAAAAAGACTTCCAATTTTAAAAAAAGAGATCATCACTTTTTAAAAAAATATATCATCTAGATAAACAAACTGTTAATCTATTTAAGCAAATACTGTTCTCACTTGCAGATTCTATTACATTAAAAACTATCATATCGGGGCTGGGGATTTAGCTCAGCGGCATAAGCACCTGCCTTGCAAGCAGGCGGTCGTGAGTTCGATCCCTGGTACCGATAAAAAAAAGTTAAAAAAAAAAAAAAAAAAAAAAAAAAAAAAAAAACTATCATATCATGTGTCATTTTATAAATAAAATAAAAATTACATAAGTATACAGTGACACTAAGGTTTTATTTGGTTATACATAATACCAAATATACATTCTCATCAGTATGGTTAAGTTATATATAGATGCTGTCTTTAAATATATGTATAGTATGCATGCATGTATGTATGACAAACACAAATTAAAAATAAGTTGAAATTAAGGGAAAATTTTTCCCTCAACTTTTCCTTATATCATTAGCCTTAGAAAATGTAACTGTAAGTACTTTTCACCTTTTTGACATGTATCCCTTGAAAGACTAAATATGACTTTTGTCAGCTTTATAACCCATTAGTGTTCTTCTCAGAAACCTGAGAAATAAGTCGTTGGATCCCAAATATCAAGGGAAATGGTTCCCCCACTCCTAGTTTTGTGGGAGAATTAAAAGCCTATCTACTGGGCAACTTGCTTACTTCAAAAAACTACCTCTGTCAGAAAGACACAAGAAGTTTTCTTCACTGCAGAATAAATTCTACTAATACAGGTGGCTTCTGCAACTGCTATGGTAAAGTTAGGATAAACTACGTATGATATAACACAACTACATATGTGTTCTCAAGTCTTCCTACGTGAGGATTAGTGATTGCTCATCTTGTTAACACATATGAAATGGACTGCATCAATTTTGATATATAGTGAAGATATATATATATATATATATATGATATATATAGGTGAAGATATATATATATATGTGAGGATATATATATATATATATATATTTGGACATATATATTAGCGAAAGTCATATATATAGACATATAGATATATGTGATATATATATATATATACACATTATTTTATATACATACATATATCCTTTCCGTGTTGGTAATTCTCTTACTGAGTTGTCTGTGATGCACTTCATATTTTGGTTTAGTGCTTAATCAACAAAAAAGTGTTGTCTTTCTCTACGTATTTCATGGAGAGGATTTCTGTGGAAGGAGGACATTTTGTTTTTTTAGTATAAGTCCTCAAGAATAGGCTTACTTGTGAATTCATTTATGTTTGATGGTATGATGATGAAGAATTGTCTCAGGAAAGCAGGAGGAAAAATACCACAGGAACATTTCACTTCCTTCATTCACTTTCTTCGAACCAATTGAACTATATGTTAAATGTTAAAACAGGAAAGGCTATTTGTCATTGCACAATAGATATTTCTACTGTGACTTGCAAATTTGTAATCCACGACTGATGAACTAGAACATTTGGCCAAAAGAATTCAAATAAGTGAATTACCTTATCATAGCATATATGAATACATATAAAGACAAAGTCCTTCCTATCTTAGAACATGTATTAGTGGGAAATATAAAACTCCAAGAAACCATTTATAGCAATCTAATAAACTAATTTGCCTGTTAGATGACAATGCCTATATTTTTTCATCTTATTAAAGTACTAATCAGATGAAAACAAGAGTCGAATTCTAAGAAACAGAATCTAACCAATACTTTTCAGTAAAGTTAATGAGACTTAAAACCTAAAATTATCTAAGAGCAGGAAACATTAAAACCAGACTACGTGAACTTTATGTAAATAAAATGTGAAAATAACTTGTTTTTTAAAATTTGACAATATTTACCTGGTAGCATTTTGTTCAAGCTGTTCATCAATGTCGCTGAAGATCTGCTTACACTCAGAGTCTCCGGGAAATGAATTTAACAAACATTGTAGGTCAAAAGTAGTGTGGGAATATTCATCAACACAATCCATTCTGAGGAACCAAGAATAAATAACAAAACATGTCAGTTATTCTAAAATGCCGGGGAAAAACCCTCCCAAGTTCTGCTACTAAATTAAATATACTGATTTCTTTACAGACACAAGGAGATACGGCAGTGGAAGGAATTAAGGTATTATCAAGCTAGGTAGAGTGTTTTGTTTTCTCAATTCATGGTGAGTAACTTCGTATTCACACTTTAATATTTTGAAAGGCTAATGTCCACAAGTTAAATGCAACATTAAATAATATGAAATCATAAGACCCAATTAGACAAGTTTGGCCAAGATTTATCCTACAAGAGAGCCCATGAAATAGTGACAACGTGTCTATCTTATATCTAAGATGTCTTGCTTTTCTCTTCTACGTGAAGCTGAACTACATATATATTTTTTTTCCCTAGGGTAACATAGGAACACTGCAGAATATGTGACACAACAAAATTCTAAAAAGTTAGTGCCTTAGGACCTGTGAATTCAGCATTCAGTTTTTGCAAGCAGTTTGTAAGTAGAGGGTAAGGGTTCCAGCCTGGACTCCACACCTCAGTTCTGCTCTGTTCTTTCCTTTCCATTGCACATATTCAACTTTCATTACAGTTAAAGGCTTTCTATTCTAAAAAAAACCCTAAACAACCAAACTTCCAAAAGATAACAGTAGAAACTCTGACAGTGAAAGTGGCAATTTTTAGCTTAAAGCAAGACATTACACAGAAATTAATGATTAAATTGGTTTAATAATTAAGAATGTGTTAAGGAGATGAAGAGGTTGTTTAAAGTTTTTGGTAATATGTCATTAAATATTACGGGAAATTTTAGACATTAAAATGGCAATCAAGTCCCACTCAAGCAACTTAGCAAGATACTCTCTCAAAATAAAAAGATTTTAAAAGAGTGCTGGTGTGGCAGGGTGGGGTGGGAAGTCTGAGGATGTAGCTCAGGGGTAAAAGGACCCTGGATTTAATCTGCAATACCAAGGAACAACCAAGACACTAATATATGCAAAAGAGGAAGCCCCTGTGGTAGTTAGGAGCCTCTGTCTGCCCAGGTGAATGAATGAATGAATGAATAAGAAACTACTGATATGGTTTTCATGCACATTTCATTGCTATATTGTGGGTAATGTTTTTGTTCTTGTTTGGTTTTTGAGACAAGATTTTGATATGAAATTCAGGCAGGTCTTGATCCCAATATGTATCCTTAGCTGGCCTCAAACTTACAATTGCTTGCCTCTGCCTCCTAACTGCAGTGATCACAGGTGTGTGCTTGGCTTGATTCGTTTTTCTGTTTGTATTTTTTAAGGGAATTCATTCTAAACCTAGTGCTAAAAGTCAGCACATTCTTGTATTAGTGATTATACTGAGATAGAACATGAAAATACAAGTACTATATAATAGGCATGTAATAAAAGAACCTCCTTACTTATTCAAGACACTGGGTCCTGGATATTAATGTTTCAGCAAATTGTTTAAGTCTATTGAAGGAAAATATAACACCTTTCTTTTTTAATTCCTCTCAAAATATACATGGTCAAAAATGTATATTATAAATTGGGTGTGGAGGCACATGCCTATAATCTCATCATGCAGGAGTCTGAGCAAGAGGATTGCAGCAAGTTTGAAGCAAGCCAGGGGTTATACAGAGTGAGTTCCAGGCCAGCTAAACTACATAGCGTGGTGCTGTCTCAAAAACAAAAATGTCTACTACATTCATAATTATCTAAATAAATTTTAAAGAATACTGATCTCCACAGACTTTTAATGCTTAGTTATTACTGAGCTAGGAGATTAGGGTGTGGCAAAGTGGCTGGGGAGGTAGGTGTGACTCTTGAGTAACAAGATCTCAGAACATTCACACAGAACAGTTCCCAAAGCTCTGCACATGGACTTCTGGCGAGAGCTCCAGCAGGTTTTCACCAGCATGGTCTCGACCTGAGCTCGGCCTGAGGAATGGGATCCCAGCACTGCCTCCAAGACCCAGATGTAGAAGTTACCTTAGGTTTCCTTGAGATTGCATCCCTATAGAAAGATACAGATACCAAGAAGACCTTGCTATTGTGGCTTTCCTCACTAAGGTCCATCCTGCTTTCTCTAGGGTGTTCTTTTATCTTGTTTCTTTTCTCTTTTACTCCACCCAAACTCACTCTGAAAAGTCAATTTCTACTTTACTCTTCACTTTTGTCAATAAATTTTGTCACTGCTTTTTGCTAATTTCACTCAACTCTTCATTAAGGGCAGAAGAACCTGGAATCCAGTTCCTCACAGAGGGGTAAGCAAGCCAGAATCCAGTAACACTGAACTGGTGAGCCGCTTTTAGAATAAGCTACCTGACAACATTAGTACTTTAAACATTAGCACTCTAGTCATTTCATATTTTAGGAGAAAGTTTGGCAATTAATCATCTTCACTGCCATTTTTAAAAGGCTCTAGCTCTAAGACAACATACTATAGGAAATACACAATAACAAATTAGGAGCTAAATTCATTTCATAAGAATGTTTCATAATTTTCATTCACTTCACATAGAATTCCTATACATCATATCTTGCTTAGTATATTTCAAATATAACATTCTATCTGAAAATTCACTTTACTCAGTAAAATAATGAAATAAAGTAGTAGCCTATTCTAATTGTGTCTACAGTTTTCTCACAATCCTTGGAGTACAAGGAGAGAAGGAAGGAGGAAAGAGGGCTTACAGCTTGTATCTGGATATCCACCCAAAGCCTCATGTGTTTATAGGTGGGGCCTTTTGGAGCAGACTAGATCTAGGGCAGAAGTGGTGAAAGCACGGCATGATATAGCACACTGTTATCATTGAAAGCTTTAAAAGTTTTGCTATCGCTGTTACAGAGTGTGTGATACTGGAATTACAGACTGGGTTAGCCCAGCCCTAGGTATAGTTAATGCAGCCCCACCCTGGCTGAGGGTGACAGCATCAGTAGCCTTATATCCTGGATGGAGTATAAAGTGAGAGGTGGCAGTTCTTCCACTTCTGCTCTGCTGCTTTGCTGTCTTCTGCCTGCCACACCACGGACTGTTGTTTCTTCTCTGTGATTTGCCTGTGCTGTGCTACACTGCATTGGAGTGAACCAACTATAGACGGAAGCCTCTACAAGCTATGTGCCAAAATAAATCCTTAACTTGTGGGAGACAACTCCAGTGACTCCCGTTGAATGCAAAACGATTACTGCAGCTTTGATTATTTGGAGACTTATTTCATTATATAATATGTAGAGAACTGGCTATGGTATTTCCTTCTCTCTTCAGTTGGCTCTAAGCATTGCAAGTAGCTAGCTGAGGTAGTGGTTATAATCTCTAAAGCCAACAGTCAGTCCTGTTTCCTCTCACAGTGCTCTCCCATAAGGGATATGAGCACAGCGAGATGTTAGAGCTAACAGCTCTGGGAGCATCAACTGGGTAGGAGCCTCGAGGTAAAGAGGCTATGACTCCCCAGGGCACAAGAGTTTACATATCAGAAACCAAAGTAACAGCCTCCCAAAACAATTCAGCTGCTACCTTAATTAGATTATGTGAATTGATCCTTCTGCATATCTTCATCTCTGCAATTTACAGCCAGGTGGGGAGATTCCTTTCTCTCCACCTAGCTAGCCAGCTCAAGTTACTCATATAATTCCCACTATCCTCACTGTCACTCATCTCTAAGCCACTCCCTTCTTCACAAAATAATAAATTCTGGGAGAGGCCTAATACCAAGGCCTTTGTCCACACATCCTCATGGGGATTGGGCTTAGGACCCCTTGGCTGCCCTTAATTTGGAACATGTCTTGGTGTCTTTCCTCTTGCTGTGAGTTGCATTGGTGGTAGTAGATTGAAATTAACTTGCTGAGATTCCAATGATGTCTCAATGGGATTACAAATACAACTTTTTGGATTGTGAGGAAAACTAAAATGAGGATTACAATACTTGGATGACTGAATTCAATATTTGGGATTACAGTATACCTTGTGCATGTAGGGTACTTTGTCCAAGAAATGAGAAAGGTAACTAAAACAGGAAGGGAGGAAGGAAGGAATGAAAGGAAGAAGGAAGGAAGGAAGGAAGGAAGGAAGGAAGGAAGGAAGGAAAGGAAAGGAAAGGAAAGGAAAGGAAAGGAAAGGAAAGGAAAGGAAAGGAAAGGAAAGGAAAGGAAAGGAAAGGAAAGGAAAATAACAGGGTTAGCACCACACAATGGTGAGGAAACACTGGCTGTGACCTCACAGCAACCTGTGATCCTATCCTTGCTCCGTGACACACATGTTGAGTCTCCATATGAAATAACAGATAATAAATAAAGATTTGGTTAAATTTTAATTACCCCATGTAACAGAAGCTAACAGAGGTTAGCTAGTGGGGCTGGACCCTGGGCTTCCTGGGTACTGGTCTAGGTTCCCAGCAATGCTCTGCCCGGGTCTGCTCTGAGACTCACTGCACTTCTTGGAATATCACAATGAGAATCCGTCCAGCCCACACTTACCATTTTTAAAATGGGTTGTAAGCATCATTTGTCACACCACAGAGTGGCCACTGTACACTCTCAAAGGACATCTTAGGTACTATAACCATTTTACTAAGTTTTTTACATGATTTCATGTCATTTGTATGGTTGAAAGAAAATCAGTTATTTTGTATTGTTTTTGTACCGGGGATCGAACTCATGACCTCATGTTTTCCAGGCAGGTACTTAGGGTGTTGAGCTAAATCCCTGGCCTTTTGTACTGTTTTTATATTGAATATGTGCATACATTTTTCATTGCAATCAGTTCAGCAGTAAAATAATGAACCAGTACATTGTTGAACATTCAGAGGAGGTCGGCAAATGTGATTTTGATGGATTTCGTATCTATACAGTTATGTGATTTTGTTTTTTTTTGCTATTTAACCTCAATGTGGAAAATAATCGACAAATACAAAGACTACATCACAGAAAGTCACGTGATAAAATGATAAGGCATCATGATGATGGTTCAGAGCTTTCCTGTGATCTGTCTGGGTCCG